CTTGGATATTATCCATCGTCTAGTAAAATATAATTTTTTTTATATTTTATATTTTACTAGACGATGGATAATATCCAAGGAAATTTTTATTCAAAAGACTTCACCATCGTCAAGAAGTTTTAGATTTGAAATACTGCATTGTATTCTATTCATCATATAGAAGGAAGTAGGTAACCAATAAACCTTAGTTGTTCCCCTATTTGACATAGCAGCACCAATCCTCATAGTCCTTTTGGTACTAAAGTGGTGAAGAGGTAAAAATTACTAAGTGAAGTTGAAGGTTGAAGCAATTTCATTTAAAATGTAAGCAATTCTCATTATTTTGACATGTGTGGTACCCAGAAGACTTTGGAATGAATACATACTGCCTTGGAAACTTCATGTTTATAATAGTACACCTAGGTTGGGAATGTGGCGTTACATTACATGTTTGTTCCAGGTCGGAGTCGCTGGGGCAAAGGTGGTGGTAATGATAGAGGGCCACGTGGCAGTGCCAGTGACAGAGGACCTCGAGGTCGGGGTGATGATAGGGGACCTCGTGGAAGGGCAGGAGATGACAGAGGTCCTCGAGGTGGTGGTGACCGTGGAGAGCGTGTAGATCGTGGAGGTGACCGAGGTGGTCCACGAGGAGGTGGTGACCGTGGTCCAAGGGGAGGAGGTGCAAACAGAGACAGGGGTGGGAGATCTAGTCGCTGGGGAGACAAGAGCCAAGACCGTGGAAGCAGGTTCTCAAACAATAATGAACCACACAGTGCAAACTTCCAACCATTGGGAAATCCCTCCTCAGGCAGCAGGGGAGGGTTAGGACAAAACAATGTTTCTCAGATGGGTGGGCGAAGTGGTTTAGGGCAGAATCCACCTTCACTGTTGAGTTTGCCACAGCAGCCCCCACCCCCTCCCCCACCACAGGCAGGAAACATGAACCATTACCAACATAACAGTAACAAGAACTCTGCCCCTACTCCATACTATCAGCCCAACAACCCTCCACCCAATATGACTGGCAACAATGTGGGATATACAGGGTATGGCCAGTACCAGCAGATGAATGGCTATGCCTACAGTCAACCCCCACCACCACTTCCCAAAAATTAGGGCAAGATATGTGTTGTGACTACTGTGTCAGAGCTTGTCACTAGTGGCAGCACATTCCAGTCACCAAGGCCTTTTTATTATATTATTTCAAGGGCATATACTTGCTATATAACATTTTAAAAATGGTTTCATTTTTAGAGCAGATTGCAGTCATACTGCTCATGAGATGGCCTGTGTACAGCAGTCAGAACTGACTGATGATTAAGGGACTGTTTTTTGTTCCATTGCACATACACAGCAAAATATACTTACAACTAAATCCCAGGGGACCTGACAGTCTTTCTTCTTTAGATATTTTTTCATTCAACACTTTAAAATGCCATTGCACATTCTACATTACCACTGTGTTATGATGGTTGTTCAAATGAAGAGGCCATAAAAATTGTCTGTATGGGGATTGAGGTAGGCATCCTGTTGATGCAGCAGTTAATGGATTCTCTCCACATAGAACAACCTGGGCTGCTTCTGGAACTATTGCACCACTGAGGGCCTTGATATCTTTGTCTGACTCAAATCTGTGGTCCTTTAGAATATTCTTGAAGGGGCTGTAGGCATGGGAAATCATATGGTGACAGGTCTGTACTGAATGGGGGATGGTCTAACACCTTCCAGTGCATACAACAGCATGTCCTGGATAGTTCAGGCCATATGCCAGGATATTTTTCCTTTATGGCAGTCCAGAGATCTCGATTCCACAACAGTGCCTTGCATTGTAGGTGATGTCAAGGTCCTTGATTCAGTTTGGATGAAGACATGAAGGCCATGGTGGTGCAGTGGTTCCAGCTACAGCTCAAGGAATTCTTTTGCAGAGGGGATTCATCAGCTGCTGTGTGGATGGAATGCCTGTCTGAGTTCACTTGGAGAGAAATTTTCCTATGAAGACATATGTTTCTGTTTAATCAAGATTTCAATTTAAGATGGGTTTCACTGTGCTTTTTGTAATGTATGTATTTTAATGTACAAACTCTATTATACCCCCCCCCCCAAAAAAAAAAAAAAAAAAGTTGACGCTAGACTAACTCCTTTCTCTTCAGTCCAATTTTACTGTTATATTATTTGTGTATGGGAAAATTTGGTAAACTGGCCATTCCATGAGTACATATGGCAGTTCTAGCACACCTTGTTGTATTGACACGGACACAAAATTATTATTGTAATTTCGTATGGCTGCTGGGGGTCACAGGAGCTTACCTTAGTTTTGCTAGGGATGAATTATGAATAAACTGTTATTTTTGTCTTCTTTTCAAAATTGTGCTTTGTCAGTATTTCCTGCACCGTAGTGGCAGCCTCCTTCTGCGCAATATGTAATGTGATAGTGTCTTGATTTCATCTGTCATGTAATCTCAGTCTTGCAGTTGTTGACTGTAACAGCATCATGTATTTCACCCAGTCTGTAGTGTAGGTATTTTATAAATTGGAAATAAAATATACAGTAATATTGTGCTCTATATTTTATCAGACAATGCCACTGATTCCACTTTTGCCCTCTTCTCATCTTACTAATGTAAGTACAATCTGCAGTGATGCAAGGTTTTGCTTAAGTAATTGTTAATATTGGCTAATGTTAAGAAGTTATTCAGCTATGGTATGGCTAAACTAAATGGTTCAAGGCCTTCCTCTAGCAAATAATATTCATCCAGAAAGTACTCTGATATTATGGATTCTGAGACTTCATCACTACCACAAAGCTTGAAAATTGCTACATATCATGTGCTGTTTGATTCTGCTTCATAGTGTATTTCTTGTGAGATACAGTTTGTATAATCCTTTTATCTGAATCAAGTTATCTCAAACGATCTCTTGAGGTTTACCAACAAAACTTCTGTATCCATTTTCCTCTCTCCAATGCATACTTTATCTCCATCCTATCCTTGGTTCATTTAACACTACTTTTAGTAGTTCAGATTATATTGTGTGGAATGATGGGATGAACTGTATTGGCAGAAGATTGCAAGTATGAAGTTGTGCAATTTTCTTGTTCTAAGTTACTTCAGCTCTCATAGATTCAGATATCCATCATAGTGCTTCATTGTTGCCCTCACTCTGTTCTCGTAGAGGGGGGCTAAATGAAACAGGTACATTTATTGATTTGTTAATATTGAGGCTATTTTGGAGGGGAGGTCAAAGATAAAATTAACCTGTACTGAATCATGGCAAGCATTTTTTTAATATAACATCTTTATTTTTATGTTTTAGGTTCATGTCAAATTGTTAGTTGTGTACCACTATCTTCATGTCTAATATAGTGGATAAATTCACATTTTTGTGTGCTTGTGGGGAAACAGTAAATTAAAAATGATCTTATACTAGACTGGAACAGTGCAGTGACTGACTATGGAATGGATAACAGGTTTGAGCCCTGATGGGGGCAGAAGATTTTTCTTATAGCATCAGTGTCCAGACCAGCTGGGACTGACCCAGAGTTGTATCCAATGGGTTGTGGTCCTTTCCTGGGGGTAAAGCGCAGCTGGGGCGTGATGCTGGCCACTCGCCCCCATCTAGTGCCGAGGTCAAGGATGAGTAGGAGCTACGCCACCTCTCCTCCAAGTGTCTAATTGGCTTATAGTGGGGCAGACTTACTTTAGAGTATAAATAATTTCATACATTTAAATGACTACGAACATACTGTTAATGCATTCATAAAAATAAATTGAAATAAATAAATAAATAACCAAAACTGTTACCGCAATGAAGAAACAGAGTTGTCAAGATGGCAGCACTTAAGCTTGGGACATCACAGTGGCTCCACAGTGTCACTGCAGCTAAAATGTGGGGGTGCGGGGGATTTTTGGACGGAACGTGAAGGCTGCCGAGTATTCATCATCTCTGAAATAGAGCACAAAGTAGGAAAGGCACACATTTCCAAATAATTTGTATCTACTTACTCACTTTGTGTTATATCCACTTTAGGCTGTAAAACCCAAAAGGAACACAACTAGAATAATATTAAAATGAAGGTTAAAGAGGCACAAAGGGCAGGTATAGATTGGACTAAACAGGGTCCAACGGCAGAAGCAGCGTACTTCTTGATCAGCTGAGCGAATATCAGCTCCTGAAAGAGGACTTCACAAATTTTAACCAGTTTGAGGCAAGATGCTTTCGACCCAAACTTCTTCCTTCAAAATTATTATGTGGATTTCAAATTGGGCAGTGAAAGGCGTTCACATTTAGGCTAGAAAAATGCAAGATTAACGCAAGATCATTAGTCTGTTTGCAATACAAAAAAAAATCTTACCAATGATTCCACGTGCTTATCTTCAAGTAATGGTGTTTTATAAACATGCACCGAATACATCAGCCACTCTTTTATTGGTGTCTGCTGTGGTAACATGCGATTATGGTCCTCAGTCCATAATCGCATGTGTACACTAGGGAGGAACACAAGTATCTTGTGGTAGGGTTACACAATTCAAAAAGTTTTATTTCAAATTCAGATTCCTTGAGTAGAAGATACTTTCCCTGGGTTTGATTCATCTGTTCAGATATCTTTGTTTGGAAAACACAATTCCTGAAATCTGTAACTGAAGTGGAATAACATCAAAATTTCTAAGAAGTGCCAGTAGTTCGTCATATTTGTCCATACTTTTATCCAAGAAATACGCAAATTTACTAACTACTTCGACCTCATCTCTTTCAATGTTTTCAAAACCTGGTGCAGAAACATCTCTTTTTGTGGTTTAACCCTCGTGCCGTGACATCCGACTTTAATCTCTGAACTATAAAGCACATCCTTGTTAGGTTGAATACGGCCGACATCCAGTGTGAAGAGTACGAAGGTATGTGCAAACATCCAAGCCATAGGAACATTCATGTTTTGAGCGTGACATCAATGCTTATGGTGATGTTCATCAATTTTAAGAAGCTCTAGGGCGTAGAAAACTGTTTTGATTATCTGATTGGTCTGTTGGTAACGTTTTGTGATTTTTACATCAACCCCTTAAGTGTGGGCGAACTTTATGACACTGTACTACTAAGTGGGGGCTTTTTTATTGTATTGAAAATGTTAATTTTTTTATATATTACAGACAAAACATATTTATTAGGTATGGAAATCAAAATTTTCATCTTGTTTAAATTTTTAGCTATTTTAATAACAATTGTACAACATTTTTTTAAACACCTATAATTTTCCCCCTTGCTATTTCCATTGGACTAAGTGGAATTTCAATGTGAATGCTGCTGGCATAACTATGTTAATCATTAAAGAATTACTTGCTATAACAGAGGGATGCACTCAACAGAGTGGAGCAAGCTCTTTAATATGTGTAACATACCTGAATACCGCATTTCCTTATCCAAGTCAAAAACACTCCAAGTGCTTCATTCTGTCTGGTTCATCACATCTCCAACTCCATGCAAGCTGGTTCCCCATCACGTACACATCAGATCTTCTGAAAACACTAATATTCAGACAAGATGGTCTGCCATGTCTTGGTGTAACACCGTAATACCAGTACACACTCTATATATACACAAAAGGGGAGATACAGTTCACAAGAAAGTTGCCACTCGGAACATCCTCTCTAGCATCAATCCCCTGATCTCAAACTCCTGTTTTATACAGACTAGGCAATCACACCAAAACTATAACTGTACACCTCCTCGGACAGCATGCAGAAGCATGAAGGCCTGAGGTCTTCCTTGTGGCCTTATGAGGCATGCTACAAACACCCGAAACTTTGTCACTAAGCATTTAAAGTGTGCAACTGTGGTGAGGTGGCCACATAACCATAATTGCAACCTGTCATTGTAGCTAGTACACTGCAAATATAAATCAATACTCCAATTCCACAAGGAAGTCACAAAAACTGAGGTGTATGTGTTTCATCTCAACCCTTAAAGCCTGATGATTTATGTCCATCATGCACAATGGTCATGTCAGCTCCCGATGCAAAGTCCTGTTACCTCTGTAGCAATGATGGTATCTTATCTGCTTGCAGGCACGCCTACCTGAAACAAAATCAAGTACCGAAATAAACAACCGCATTGAGAGTCCAGTCGTAAATGTTTCTATGTAGGCACTCTACAGCACATTCATAACCTAATGGCCAAAAAACCCGACCTGCAATGCAATCGATATTTTTCTTACTTTACGTCTTCAACACAAGAGAAAGATGACATCAACACACGCTAAAATGACAAAAAAATAACTTGCAGAGCCTCGCAATACATGACAGATCTGGATTGGACTTCAGAATGCATCCTACGGTGATGCCAACCACGAACGAGGCACAACTGCTACGCCATTCATTTATGCTGTGTCTTACAATTTTAATTACTTATATATTATTCTGGATCAGGAACAAACTTTGTACAATTAGCCAGTAGAATTCTCAACTAAAATTATAGGGTTTGAGACTTTCGCGGCGAGTTTGTTCAGTATTTGTGGTCAGGTTGGTAGCCTCAACACCCTGCTAGTTTCTCATAGTAACCAACAGAGTTCACACTTTTAATGTTATTAAGACGATTATGAACATGTAGGGTGGCGAAGGACATATTTGTGTTTTTTTCGCTATCGCTGTATTTCCACCTTTAATTGTTTAATTTAAATTAGGTTTTGCCCACCGTTTTCCTTACGTAATGCGACCATAATTTTTTCGCGCAGCATATAGCGCCGCGGTGGGAAGAGGGACACTTCGAAATTTCTGGAAGTTTATGTGGTACGTTAAATGTTGTGACTGTAAGTGTGAGAGTTGATATGTAGAAAGACCTACGTGCGGTGAGGGATTGGCATAATTGTAGTATCTGTGGTATGCTAGAGGCATTCATGATTCTCTAGTGAATATATTGATCATAGGATATCAAAATTTGAGGTTAGGTATCATTTGTAGACGAGGGTGGTGACTATTTGTGATAACGTTTTGTTAGTGAGAGGTTTTGTAACACGTGTGATGTGTGTGGTGCTGTGGAGCCTTTAATGTGATCTGTTTACTAATTAATAATTCAGTAATTTTTCACTTTAATCCCAGAATTGTACCTATCTTCAGCCAAGATTGTTTCCTTCCACATAAGAGAGTGAGCAACAGTTTATTCTGCCACAGTTTAAAATATAAGGTGATATTTTCATTGATCTGTCTTTTACATGAACATTTGTCATTTCAGATTCGGTGACCGTGAAATAATGTTTTGCTCAGACAGGATGATGACTGCATGCAGCGGCTTGTTACCGTTTAGATTCAGCTGTAACAAGTAATGCCCAGGTAAATGTTAGGTGGCGGGAATATGTTGTTTGGCAATTCTTAGTAATATAGGTTCATTGGTTCTCAATAGTTTAGATCAGACAAGTCTGCAGGCATTTGTGCTGCGACCATTGTTGATAGGGTGCCAGCTTTTAAAGCTGCAGCATAGCAAGATGTGCAGATTTCAGGCATTGAATGCGTGATAAGTCACTGCACTGTTACAGTTGTTTTAATGGTCTCTAGGTTGTTTGTATGTGAACTTACTCAGTGCAGTGCAGTGTTAGATATAATATTTTTTATGCATTCTGATAGAAAGGCGTTGACATGCTGAGTTACTCTCAGATTCTGAACGTGGACTTTGCTCGTGGCTTTAGATGGTGTTAGCTGCAATTACTTTGCACATTAAATTTTGTCAGTAAATTTAATCTCATTGAATGCGATCTTCAGTGTTCTGGAAACATAATGGCTTGCCGACCGCAAATGTCAGGACAACAAAAGTTTTCAAACCGAACATAATAGACTTACAAAAATTTGTTTCCAAAGCTTTTTAAAGTCCCATACTTCATTTCAGTTTTTGATGCTGCTTTCAGATAGCAGAATGTTAAACTCGTGTCCATTTTGAGAATAATTACATGTTTTATTGTAAATTAATAAATTGCATCACCAGTGTGAAAATGTCCCAGTTACTTTTAAAATAATTTGTGTTGCTGAAGCAAATACCTGCACCGTTACTGCCTGGATGAGGAATTAATATTTAAAAATATCTGTTCAAATAAAAGGAAATGTCGTGAAAAGTGATGTTTGTCTACCAATTAAATAATCTTGCCCAAATTGCTGACATGGAGTCACTGAGTTTACAACATAAAAATACTTGAACGAAAATACATTATGACATTATGTATCTGTCATCAAATATCCGATGAGATAGGTAAACATTTATTCACATATGAGGTCGACAGTACATCAGCACAAGACCTTTTTTCATTGTTTGTTGAGGCTCGCTACATGCTTCAACCTTAAATTTTAATCTTCAGGAGTTTTTCATTAAGTGCTGGAATGTAGTATTCATGAGGAACTAGATTCTTGGTACTTTTCCCTAAGAAAACATCCACTCGACTATTTCACCTAGTGTAGCTTGTGGCAGTCTCAGGGTGATGATCTTCATGTTCAAAATGAAGTGTCTTTACATTTATCTTGTGGAGCAGAGGTAAGTATGTACAGTTGATGAAAAACCTGTCTTTCCTAACAACTTATTGGCCGTGTGCCATCCTGAATTCCACATTTTTATGTGTACAGTTTTAAATGGGTGATTAAATAACTTTGTGCATAAAATTAATTTTTAAATTGTTTAACATCTGAAAGTTTATTGCAGTGATGTTGCTCCATTTGAATTTCAGGACTTGGACAATAACGCAGATGGAATAGTTGCCAACTTGGATTTGAATTTGAAATAGTTCACTCTGCAATTGTTCTTCACTAAACCATCAGTTTTATTAAAAGGACTTGGGTATTTTTACCATGTTGAGTGAAGCGGGATATGTCATGTCTGAGTATGAGGCCTCATCCTTTATTCCATATCTGATTCTGAAGGTGAGACGTTCAGTAATTTGTTTAAATTATGTCCTGGAAAATTTTTACATTCCTACAGCTTCAGCTTGCAGTTTAGTGAAATAATATCAGTGTTTGTGGTATGTAATTGTTTTTGAGATCACACAAATCTGATTGAACTCCGTGTTAAGTAGGGCGATATTAACCAATGTCGTTGGCTCTTGGTGTAGCGACGCCAGCACTGAATTTTGCTGAAATCCATTTTTAGTTTGTCAGAAATGAAATCCGTGGATATGCAAATGAACAGATACGACTTCCCCATTACATGTTTATTTTATGCACTTCTTCCAAAATGGAGCATTCTTTCGGTATTTATAGATTGGAGATCGTACGGATACTGTCCGAGAACTGCTCAGCCTTATCAAACTGGTGTATCCACCTGCAAATCTTTTTGCAATTCTGATGAAGTGTCTGAAGGCCATAAATGCAAAAGCGCGCGCTGGTGAGTAATATTTTAAGTAAAGGGTCATAATTTGTGCCCAAGTCGTAAAAGTTACCTAAACTAGAAAACCGAAAATGTTCTGAAGTTTTCTTAAAATATATGCACTTAAGCATTTTCCTTTGTTCTTTAAGTGAAAAATCAGTTTTCATGCAGGGGTCAATTTTTTTCTGACCTTATGTAAGATATTTTTGTCTCTTTATTGTTAAATTAGTTATTTCATTATCTGATTTAACACAATAAGGAGGGATTAATTGAATTGTAACTTCTTTCTCTCGTGTTAGAATTGTTTTGTTAGGATTTGGG